AGCTCACACAGGAGTCAATGGTGCAAACACAAGGTGGCACACAGAATTTTCTTAGTATGGCATCAACCAGCAAGTTAGTTGTTACTGCGGGGCGATGTCATCGTCAACAATATTTTGTTGCACTTGTGTGCACCACRTTGTACTCAGCGCTGAGAACCAGAGAGGCAGTCTGGTGAAGGCACAGCACCAACTGGCTTTGGAAACCTGTGCAAGGYGTCTTGTTGAAGGTGGAAGGAAGTCCTGTGGCGATGGAGTGAATGCAACGGTAGCAGGCTTGAGTAGCTGGGAGCTGCTAGCAGGATMTCTACACACAGGCGACTCACATATGATGGTCGCAATTTTTCGCTGACCCCTAAGCACCAGCTTGTTGAGGCAGCATTGTGAGTGACCAGGCAGCCCTCTATAGGGATAGCACTGCCTGCCCTATGATAGGGAAGCCCCTAGAAAAGGTGTGAAAAAGACTCCTCTTCAAGCGGTAAAAATCATAAGATGAAGAAGTTAACTRTTGCRTCATGGAATGTACGCACTATGCTAGATGGAGACAACCGACCGGAAAGAAGGACTGCTTTGATTGCAAGAGAACTACGGATGTTTGGTATTGAGATTGCAGCTCTCCAGGAAACACGCCGTGAAGCACAAGGTCAATTTAAAGAGGAAGATTACACATTTTTCTGGGTGGGGAAGACCATAGGACCTAGAGAAGCCGGTATCGCTTTTGTAGTTCACAACATGATTGTCAAGAAACTCACATCACTACCTNGTGTTAAATCACTTCCGTTCTTTTATTTTGTTCATGTTATATATTTTATTTATTTTTTACTAAAAGAGCCATATAATAAATAACTTATTAACCTCGTCCGTTCGGTCATTACAGGGAAATCTCAGACGTCGGTCTTGTTTGTATGGACCTCGCTATTGCTCGGTYCATACTTCCAAGACCTCGGTCTGAGATTTCCCTGTAAYGACCTCACTCTCGGTTAATAAGTAGTATATGAGGCGAGGTTAATAACTCATTTATTATATGGTTTTTACATCGTACATTATGTAGAAGAATTACTCAAAGTAGGAAAAGTCTCACTGGTCAACTTGAAGCCCGTTGCCTCCTTCTATCTGATAGCACTGCTTTTCTCAAATATCTATGATATGAGTAAAATGACACAGAAATTATCATATTTTCAGTAATTGTAGGCTAAAAAGGTGGGGATTTTGGGTCCTTGTGTGCTACAATCAAGGCTTTGATTGTTTCCCTTTGTCTTTTCCATCTTGGGGGTCTATTTGAATTAACCAATCACATGCTATGACAGTCTACTCCYGCTGTTAAAGCTAAGCCAATCAGATGCAACCATTAAAACTCMTGCAAATATATCAAGAAAGTCAAGATGTTTTATTTGTTCTTCCCTGCCAGTTAGCAAAAGATAAGTTTTACATCTTTGGGAAAACAAGCATGTATTTAGCTAAAATTATAAAAGATTCTTTGCAAGTTGACGTAACCACACATATTGTACCGATGCAGATTTGTTTGTCTGTAGACAATGTTTTCAAGGCTTGAATAAGTATGATCGCACTTCAAAGAAACTAGAAGAAGAAAGATCTTGATCAGTCTTTTGTTCAGCAAGAGAAACRACTGTGGGCAAGGGAACATGACGGAAGTCAGAATCCCAAAACACTAAAAGCTGTGAAGTGTCCTGGACGTTTTGTTGAATGATCGAGAACTATCGGTAAAGCTTGAAAAATCAAGGATGGCATGCTTCTGGTGGGAATTTAAGCACGAATTTTTGAACAGCAAACTCAAAACTGTCCGCGATGCCACCTGCCATGTTTAGTATGATCGCACCTTATAATACGTGAGTTTCTATTGGYCAATAATTTTGGTGGGAACTGCTGCAAGGAAATGAAAGACAACTGTACTGTCAACTCAGAAAAGTGTGGGAGTCAAGTGCTAAGACGCGAGTACAGACAAAGAGGTGTGAGTAGTTAAATAGTAACCATCTTTCWTTCAGATCATTAAAAAATGGATTTTGTTGGGKTTTTTTATTGCAAAGAAAGTCTCAAATATGATAAACARAGTTGTCTTGATTTCCTCGGTCCAACTTACGGAAAATATGGAAGTTGGATTACCATAGCAACAGTCCAATATGTTTAGACGGACTGCGGGTTTGCCAATCAGAATTCAGGAAATTTTCAAGCCATATAATAAAGACAGGATATTACACTACATGGGAAGGTTTTAAGCACGATAAGATTATGATGTAATATTCTGCCTATCATATGATTATATATGAATGTAAATTATGGTGTAGAATAT